TTATTTTACCTTTTAAATTCTACTATGAATTCTAGTTCACCATATATGAGTAAAATGTATACACCTAATAATTATATTAGGTAAATAAAAGAATAAAAAAAACTGTGTAATTTCTGTTTATGCACGTTATTACTCCTATTTTTTGCTTGTGGTGTACCACAGAATTCTGGGAAGAGCTTTAGTGTGCCCTGGGTGAGAAAAGGTTAAAAAGTACTGATATATGATATGTCTAAAGACAGAGAAGAATACAATTTCATAATGAATCACATCTCCAGATTTTAACTTTAACTTTTGATTACAGAATTAATGCCAAAACTTGGCACTTCAGATATTTGGTGATTATGTTACTGGACATCTGCAGGACCAAATGTTCCCATGACACTAAGTACCAAGTATTTTCCAGGATGCTTAGCGTCAAGGTCAGAACCAAAATGTTTTCCATGATGCCGAGAGCAAAATAAATACTATGAAGCTATGCTAAGATCTGCGGGATCAAAAGGTTTCATCAATGCTCAGTGCTGAACGCTTTAGCCTAAATGTTGACGAATGTGCAATCATAAGAATTTTCATCCCAAATATGGCCGGTCATCATAACAGCTGTACCTTCCCCCCTATAAACCATTTTAGTCAACCATTGAGTGGTCAGGGATGATGAGAACGAAAAATCCAACAGCAGGAAAGCCACATGTTTGGTGTGCAGACAGTATAAACATGATGTCAACACATTTAGTGACCTTTACATCAACAACATAACAAGGAGAGAGCTCTTAGGAGTTGGACAGCTGGACAAAGCTCTCAAAATCATTTATGGACATACTATTGTTCAGACTGTTATAATGATTTGTTTGCTTTTTCAAATGTTCCAATGTGTTCAGCCCACAAGAATTCGTACTAAAATCAGTCTTTTTTTTCTATGAAACAGATCATTTTGCCACCTGAAGTCACTGCGCTTTATGTGCTTATTGGCTTTAAAACAGTATTCTTCTAAGTGTACACATATTTCCCTTCCAGATTGAAGAGTATTTTGCCAGTAAGAATAGCTCAACATAATATAGCTGATGTGCTATATGTATATAGTTACAAATATCCAACTTGAACCCAAATCACAAAACCAAACTAACTAAATTCCATCTATTTCTTGATAGGAAATCCTTCTCATTTTAAGAATTATTTAAAAAAATCCTGCTGGCAGTATTGAGCAACCACTGGACCAGTGGAGACTGATCCATATTCACAGATGACTGGTGGGGTGACAACCCCCACTTTTTTTTTGCAAATACAAATCTATTGGCATTCTAAGGAGTACTGGTAAGTGTGTGTTAGGAACCAAAAAAAACATTTGTCTGTCAAAATTATATCCGCAGTTTCTATACTCCCATTTATTGATGACTTAAAAATTATACTTACACTCAATTGGAATATTTAATTGTATTTATTTATAGTGGAAAATATTTTGTACGGTGATTTAACTAGAGGTGCAATATTTGGTGCAGGAGTACAAAAATATATTGCTTTTGATTAATGTGTATAATAACTTTAGGCCAACATGTAATAGGTATGCAGCAAAGGTCAGCCACCAAAGAAGTGTTTGTGGAAACCCCCAAGAGGGCTGCAATTAATGAACTAAAATATTTCATTCAGTGCACATTGAGCGTTCCCCCTTCTCATCAGTCTCCTGAGAGTTGCATTTCAAGGCCATTCAGCAGTATACAGTCTGTTTAGAGAATGTGTGTTTACACCACTTTTCAATGAGTTAAGTGTTAGGACGATCATTAAATTAGAGATAATATGCACACAAATGGTAATTTAAAAGCCTGATTTAAAATGTCAGTAGAATTAAAAACATAAATAAAAAAATTAAAAAATTGACTAACGTTTAAAAAAACATGATTCATTAGGACTATAATGGTAGTACAGGAAAAAGCATGAACAATAAACGAGAGGCAGATAAGCTGACAAAGAAAGGAAAACAGCACGTGATATCACATCCTTTAAATCATGGGTACTCAAACTCCGGCCCCCCAGATGTTGCTGAACTACAACTCCCATGATTCTCTGGCTATATATGTAATTCAAAGAATCATGCGAGTTGTAGTTCAGCAACATCTGGGGGGCCGGAGTTTGAGGACCCATGCTTTAAATTAATCTTTATGAAGAAGTCATTGTGAGAGCTGAGATTCAGATTGGTAAGAAAAATTAAAAAAAACAAATATTTTCTTCAAGATAGATAATTGTATAACTTATGTGATAGAAACAATGTGAATGTAATCAGCCATATAAACCTACATCACGGTGTAAATGTGGTAGCGATACATTTTTGTCAGATACATGTAATTTTTGGCGCTATATAAATGCCAATAATAATAATAATAATAATAATAATGTATATTTCAACAACAGGAGCTATGAAACCAGGCTAGAAGGAACGTGGCTTACTGGGTAGTGGTAACTCTCACTGGTAACTCAGCGCGTGCCTGAGACAGTAGCATGTCACCCTGGAGCACATGGCGCTGGTCTGACATGGCCAGCCACTCAACCAATGCTATACATGTGAAAAGGGATGCTAAAGGGAAAAAAAAACAACAGTAATTAATGAAAAGAAATGCCAAATTGGAACTGTTGCTCAGATCCATGACTGTTGGGAGTTATGTACATGTAATGCAGTCTACAGCACAAATTAATTTTACTTAAATTGTTGGGTTTGACTATGCAAATATTGCATTTTCTTTTTTTCTTTCCATGTATTTTTTTAAAGGGAAACTATTATCAGTAATTAATTTTTCTAACTATTTTTAAATGTAAGGCAGTGCAACCTGGATCTGTGTTCTATCAAATGTAAGTGTTTATTGTATGTTTTCTAAATGTTTTACTGAGCTGAATAATGTCTTTTCAAGATATAATTGTGTCTCTTAAATAGTAGCATTACATCACTCCACATAAATTTTTTTTAACTAAAGTGCTACCTAATGAAATTTCCCTCTGTGTTTATTTCATTAGTGTTTATTTTGCTTCTTATGGGATCTGTCATTTCCCTGGATTCTTAATATTACATTTATTTATTCATTCCCTGTGTTTACCAAATATGTTTTTGTGAGGTCTGAAACATATCATTGAATTTAGAAACCTGCATTGTAGTATTTACCTATTCAAAAACTTGACATCTTTATCTCGACTCCTTATCAGCCATCATTATAACTCTTGCCCTTTTCTGCCATTGATCACAGCTCGTGGAAGAGGATAAACAAAAAAACAAATATATATTGTTCTCATTTTTATTTGTATTGTGTGCACTGTGTGTGCCTGGACAGAACTGAATTGTGATGTCACTTGCTAAAGCTATAATAAACATAAAAAAGACCAGTTGTATGCGAATTTCAGTATTTATTCAATTAAAGAATTGACAGTTCTCCTCTAACATATAGATCCATATATTTAAAGCCCCTCATTTAATTGCAAAGCTGGCCATATATGTTATATAGTTCCATAGTTATATTGGCTTACATTTCCTCCATCATGTTTAGCCTTTTTAGCCCAAGTAAAGTTTTTGCAGTAATCTAGCCGAGAGGATACAAATGCATGAATTAATGTTGGCATATAATATAAATAAGTGTTGTATCCTGGCTATGTTTTTCAAAAGAAAGTAGGCAGATTTTATTACGGAGAAAATTTGCTGTTTAAATGATAGTCCAGAGTTAATCAGCACTCCGAGGTTTCGTACCTTTGATGAACTGATGAGTTCAGAGCCTCAAAGCTCCAGGCCAGTTGGGTGATCATGGGATACTTTTGTTGCCCGGGGTCCCCTCACCAAGAGTAACTCTGTTTTGTCAGGGTTCACTTTAAGCCAACAAGCATTCATACATTCTCTGAGGTCAGTAAAGCAAGTGTTGATGCGGCATGTTGGGTCAATAGTAACAAAGGATAAGTAGAGTTATGGGTCATCAGCGTAACAATAAATACCATAGGCCATGCTGCCTAATGATGTCCCCCAGTGGTAGCAAGTAAATTGCGAATAGCATGGGAGACAGAATGGATCCTTGTGGAACTCCGCAGGTCAGTTCTGTTGGGGCTGATGAGCTTGATCCTGATGTTACTCTCTGTGATCTACCAGTGAGGAAAGATTTAAACCAGTTAAGGACTGTGCCTCTTAGACCACAGATGTGATGCAAGCTCTATTAAAATCCTATGGTCAATGGTGTCAAATGCAGCTGAGACATCCAAAAGGATTAGGATGGAGTAATCACCTTTGTCTCTCGCCATAAGGAGATCATTTAGCACTTAGACTATCGCTGTTTCAGTGCTGTGGCGGCACCTGAAACCTGACTGGAAAGGATCAAAGATGTTCAAGTTTGATAGATGGGCCTCCAGTTGAATTGCCACTACTTTTTCAATTATTTTCCCTAGAAATGGAAGGTTGGATACTGGTCTGTAATTAACCATGCAATCTGGGTCTAATAAATGTTTCTTTAGGAGTGGTTTTACCACAGCTTCTTTTAGTGGATATGGGAAGTCTCCAGTTTTTAGTGAACACTGCACTAATTTTGTGAGGGTTGGGGCGGAAGTTTAAATGCATGCAGATAAAAGCTGAGTTGGAGCAGGGTCTAAGTCACATGTAGTAGGCTGTAACTTTTGCATGGTTATTTTAACTCCCTTTATATGCACATTTGTAAAAGTGGACCATAAACTGGGGCAATCTGGCATTCCATTGTAGTGGTTCTGGTGTGTAACTGTTTGGCCTGCTGTGATAGAGGCTCGGATTAAGGAAATCTTGTCTCTGAAGAGGATCGCAAATGCTTCACACTTATCCTGAGAAAAGTTGGTGGGGATACACGTGCATGCTGGTTTGCAGAGCCTTTCTACTGTGTGAAACAGTTGCCTGGGTCTATTGTGAGAGTGCAATTTCGCGTGATAAAAATTAAGATTTTTTCGGCGTTATCTTGAATTGATATTCGTTTAGATCTTTGGTAAGAGCAGCTTTATCCCCTGGATCATGTGTCCTGCGCCAGTTTCTCTCGAGTTTACGGCCTGTTCTCTTCATTTCTCTGATGGTGCTATCAAACCAGGGTGCATTGTTGTAGGTTTTGATAGTGTGTATGCGTGTTGGTGCAATGCTTTCTAGGGTATCTCTCATGGTTTTGTTGTAAAGTCAGACTAAGGAGCTGGGGTCTTCACAGGTGCTCATTAGTTCACTTAGATCCATATGTGATCTTACATCCAATGGCGTCATCCCTTTAAATGAGCGGTGTTTGACCAGGTTCTGTGGCTTGAGTCTGGCTGATTGAAATACAATGGAGAAGTGAATGGAGTGGTGGTCTGACCAAACAACTGGATTTACAGTTACTGGTGACACCGCCAGTTCAGACTGGAACACTAGATCAAGTGGGTCTTTTCTGTGGGTGGAAGTGGTGACGATTTGTGTGAAGCCGAGTGCTCTCATGAAGCTGAGGAGATCCTGCACAAGCAGGGATAGGGTGTCATCAATCCAAGTGTTGAAGTCTCCCAATATAAGCCATGTGGGGAGTTCAACGATTAAGCCAGCCAGAGTGAGGTCTGAGATTTTGCACTTCAGGCTGCATTGTAGATAGGAGAGCATTATGCAGGTCAGATTACAGGAGTTCAAAACCAATGTGTTTTAGTGAAATAGTTTTCATACACTGGTTTTCTTGGTGTTTAGAAATTAAATCTGAGCATTGCCAAATAGATGATCAAATCCAAAAACCCAATTTACACATGGAGGTGAGTCAATTTTTGTAGTTTAAATGTATCATGTTTGTGGTGTTCAGCTGAAGGTATCTCTTCCTGGTAGTAAGATGGCGCAGTGGAAGTATATTTCAATCCGTTCTCTATCTCAGTTTAGTAATGCCATCCATTCAATTTTGGTAAATCCAGTTGTGTGATATGTGGAGTCGATATTGGTCCTTAAAATATTTGTGATGAATTATGAGTGTAAGGAGGTTAAAATTAAGATAATTCCTGCAGAGGTAAGGAGTCTGAGAAAAGTGTGGCAGCCAGCAGGGGTGCCTGAAGAATATCTTCATTAATCTAGTTTATTATAATTATTTTTAATGTTAATAGTGTTCATTTTTTACACCAGATTACTGGGTCCTCCCTATAAAAATATTAAATACATTTTATAAAAAAAAGATACAAAAACTTTACAGTTTCCTCTCAACTAAAGTAATTAATCCTGATGACTTTTGTCCACCAAGATGCTTCTAACAGAAAAGCATTAAGGACATACAACACAAGTGTGCAATCATTATCATCCACAAACCCAATGCTTTTTACAGAGAAGTACTGAATTGAATGCTTCTCTGTGACATCATTGTGATTTAGTGGTTTTGGTGCTTAGAATGTCCCTTTAAAGGCTTAATATTGACATCTAAAACACATTTACTTGATTTATATAGACTGTTACATATTTCTGATATCATCAGATGGGGCCTCTTATGCTTTACACTATTTACACTTCAGCCATCAGTACTAGTAATAGCAGAAACAAGCCTGGATTTAGTATTTGTATGAAATTAGAACTTCATGTTGTTGGAGAATTACAAGACATCGAACAATACATTTTTAAACAAAAAAATAGTTATTAAATATGAATAAATATGAAAATAATGTTGCTATCCCTCTAATAATGAGGCACTAATCACTGCAATTCTGATGGGTTTTCTTGAAGGAATACTTATACTGTATAAGCAGAGAAGGAATGTGTGTGTTGTGTTGCATAACCTACCATGGTACAGAAAGCACTGATATGGCTTGTTTGGAAATGGTGCGTGACGCTTATATATGCAATATTTTGCTACTTCAACATCCCTAAGGAACATAGTAGAGTTTAATTATATGCACTTTCACCATTCTTTCTGTGCTGTGGGATTTCACATAACGTACTGCTCAACAGATAATATAGAAACATAAATTAAATACATGACACGTGTCTACAAAGATCTGAAACAGTGGTTAGAATTTTATAATAAATGTACATTTTTAAGAACTATGGAGGACCATTATATAAGCAGGCAAATGCATATAGCTCAGCAAAATATCCCATAACTATAGTAATGTTTCCAAGCACTAAAAGCACTACATCGCTCTGTAGTGGTTCTTAAATCAGGAGTTAGTTCCCTGGCGCCCTCCTAGTGTTTCACAATAGTATGACAACGTACATGGGTCTCCAGGCTCTTCACTGAGCTATGCTGGACTGATTCAGGACCATGCTTATTGGCTATAGGTGCTCAGCTCACCCTGCATGGCTGTGCTTAGTTCAGTGGAGCTAACCAGATTTTACCATAATAACTGATTGTTGTGTTGCTGTTATACAGTTCTGAGCTGCAAGAGTCTTGGGAAAACACTTCACATAATACATTTCATTTAAACTAAATGCTCAAAAGTATTAGGACATTAGTGAGTTTGTGTGGTCTGCCTCTACTATGGTCATCTGTTGTTGACCTAAGACATCTTCATCTTTCAATGATAGCGCTAGAAAATTGCAGCGGCAGCTCTATTGGGGCAGAAATGTGGGCTCAGAAGGGAAATTGCTCTATTTTTCTCATCCTATTTATTAGTGTTTGTTACTGAATATACAAATTATTTATGTCATTAGTTGTAAACTCTACATAAGAAAAAACACTGATCTGCACAGACTGTTGCCACTTTTGATCATAAATGGCAGCTTCCACTGACTTATTTACTACTTATTTACATTCCTTATCCAGAGCACTTTGCATAGTTTAGTGATTATAGAAGCATAAAAATATACAAAGTATCTTTGATTACTTAACACTGCAATAGACAGAGACATCTAGAACCACAAAAGGGTGTGTGACTTCATTTGTAATTTAACTTTATTAATTAATGAAATGAACTTCACTATTTACTAACAAAGAATAACAACATGCCCCAAAACAACTTAGTAGCTAGAAGAGGACAAAGAGACAGACAGGACAGCAGAAGTCGTGTCTTTTTATGCTACAAGTCATCTTTTATTCTAGAGACAGGCTGGGTGGTCGTCTAACCTAATGTGTTGAAGGAGAAGGACAAAAATATGTGTGCTTATTGTGCTTTGAAACAGGGATCTTCTTAAATTCCTTCTCCAATAGAAGCAATCCTTGCATTTGGTTAGGATTAAAATTCAAGAACTTAGAATCTGATGGAAGTAAAATGTGCCACTGTTTCACAATGGAATTGTAGTGAAGCAAACAAAGGGCATCCCTATCTTTAGACACTCTCATGGTTGTCCTGAAAAGAACAGGGTCACTAAGGCCAGTCTACTAAGAGATCCAAACTATACATCTGGACATCTCATCTACAAAACTGGATTTCTCAGCAACATGCTCAACCTAAAAGGACACCATAGTCACCAAAACAGCATTATCTTAATGAAGTAGTTTCGGTGTATAGAACACGTCCCTGCAGTCTCACTGCTCAATTCACTGCTATTTAGGAGATAAATCACATTTGTTTCTGTTATGCAGCCCTAGCCACTTATCCTCTGGCTGTGACTGACATGAAAAACTGGTTTTAGGTCTTACTTTAGAAATCTTTATCTTCTGCACTGTTAATTGCAGCCTAATATCACAGAGAAGGATCCTGTAGGCTCTAATATGTTATTAAAAGGAGTTAATAAATTCTAAATTAAACAAACTGTGCAAAAAATAAATATATATTTTTACAGTGTTTAAGAAGGTTGAGCAAGTAACATGCATAAACAAAGTGATTGAAGAAAAAAATCTCCTAATTCAATCAAATGGTCTCCTAAAAACAATTAACTAAAGTTGTTTTGGTGGTTTTATTAGCCTTTAACTTCAATAATGTGCTCAAATTAACAAAAAAAGAAAAATAAACACATTCTTTAAACACCATACCCACCCTCCCCCAATCTATAGTAGTAGTTATAATAAAAGGATGCTCTGGTTCTGTCACAAAAAAATAAAATTCATCCGAAGCATAAATTCAGCCACTCTGAAAATGTAGTGCTACCTCTGTGCAATAATAGACTGTGAGCACAGGGCTAGAGCAGGATTTGGCCAATGGCCATGCAAAATCATTGCTGCACGTTCGATACCATTAACATGCTGTGGGTCACAAGGCCTACAAGCAGTCAGAAAGCCTGCAATATTTCAGTATAGCTGAATCCTGCTCTAACCCTAACAGCCAATCATTGCCCAGGAACAACACACACAAAGTTATTCACTAAAGTTAGAACTCAAAATGTAATAAAGTAATTGAAGGCCAAACTGAACTGAAAGCCGAACTGGAAGCATAGCTGAGGTAGATAATGTATCCTAAGTAGGAACTCAAAGTGAATTTTGAATTTCAAAAGGTCAAAATTGCTCTGTCAGCTATGCTTTCAGTTGGCTACTTTAGCCATACATTTGAAATTCATTTTAAATTCTCACTTTAGTAAATAATCCTCTAAGAATAAGCTTATATTAGTATACTATGTATTCATAGCATTGTGTATACTGGGATGGAAATTACATGCAATTAGCGAATACATTGAAACCTGAGCAATTGCTACTATAACTATACCATAAACCAGCCATATTACTTGCTCGTTGGGCAAGCCTTCATGGTTAATTAATCTGTTGCTTAATAGTCAACATTTGCTATGCTCCGTTCATTATTTATTTAGTGATAATAACATTGACCCATTAAGGTGATACACCCTGAAGAGGGCACTGACTGTGTCACAATGAATATTTTACAAGCCCAAAGAGATTGTTTTACTCTTGGAGACGGTGTCTGAACAATGAAAGAAATTTGGAGTGTTTCTGGTGATATTGGTGCAGCTGCCTTTCTGTTTCTGTGAGCTCTTGTAAATTGATATTTCTGACTATGATGGTCCTGTCAATGCTTCCTAGTCCCTAAATGCTAAGGTTCTCATTATATGGAAGTATGGAAAGACAAGCATTTTTTTTGCAGAATCCAATGCATCCATCCATCCATGTAGTAAATATACATGTATGTTAACATGAGACACTGAGCATGCACACGCAGGTCCAGATTTGCCATAAGACCACCGAGGCCATGATTTTGGCGTGGCAGGTGGTACAGGGGTGGCACTGCTTGAAGGGAGTGCGTGGTCTCAGGGGAATATACGGAGGGAGCACCATGGCAGGAGCTTCTCCCAGTATTAGGTGTACCCTCACTTCCTCCACTACTAATGCAGGAAAGCTGGAAGTTTGTAAAAATAAACCTTTGTTCAATTTCTAGGTTGCCTCTTTTTATTATGCCTATAAACAGAAGGCTTTCTTCTAAAAGTCACATGGTATAGACTATTATTTTATAAATTGTCAACATATGCCATGCTCAAACTAGAATTAGAAATTATTACTTTATTGCCAACATATGCCCTGCTCAAACACAAATTAAATAGTCCATA